ATGACACCCAATTGCTGTACAAGGGTAGAAATGGATTGGAATAAGTGTTTCTTAAATGCCAGCCTCGTTGCGCAAAGGAATGAGTGGTGAAGGGAGGAGGGGAGCTCATGGAGGAGCAGGGAAGGCAGCAGACACTGGCAGCAGCACAGGCAGAGCCATTCAGGGCGTCATGTCCTAGGGAAGGAAGCATCTCGCGAGCCCGTGGCTGATTGTGCTGCCAAGAAATCAGATCTCTCTTTTTGCTGATGACATTTTAGGGCTGGGAATTCCTCCTGAGAGAGACTTCCAGTTCCTGCCTTCAGTCTGTGGGCAAGAAGAGGGGGCTGCTTGGGTCCTACACTTCAGTTGAAGCATGAAGAGTCATTATTGTTAGTTTGTCTCAGGAGTGAGGGTTTGAATTTCAGAAGTGCAATCTAGTTCTAAAGTGTCTAAAGTCTCTTGGAGCAGCTGATGTTCCTAGAAGCTCAGGTTTTTAGTCCTCCTTTAACTGGGCCCCAAGGACCAAGTGGCTTCAGTGGAAACAATTATGTATTTTAAGTCTTCAAATAGGAAAAGCACAGAAGATGTCATGTGTGCATCCATTTTCTGGAGGATAACCCCACTGTCTACCTTACCTGCAGCAAGATCATCAATTGCTTAGGGACGCTCCTCTGTAATGTTTCCCATAGTGGCATTATCTGTACGTGTGTATTACAGAAGACTTTTCTCCATAGGACAGCACTCCTTTTTTCCACACCAAATACTAACCTTTTGCTCTGAGTTGTGATATAGATGATGAACTTGATAGGATTGACTGAATGACTGGAAGAGGAAGGTATTTCCCCTGATCCCAGTTCAATTTAACAACTACTGCGATACATAAGAGTCATAACCCAATTTGGAATAGGGGAGGGAGTACAAAAGCAAAAATACAAAAAGCAGAGTTGTGCATCAGAAACTACTCAGTGGAGTTTTATCTTACAGTTTGAATGTTTTGCCTGCCTCGAGGCTAGATCTTATATCAGCATATCAAAGCTGTGGTTGCTTGTACCACTGTTTAACTGGAGCTGATTATCAGAGGGAGGTCTTCTAGTTGCTTCCTTTGGCCAGAGCTTCATCTTGATAGCCATGACTAAAGGGGAACGTGTGTGGCTTGTGTTAAATTGTAGAAGGGAGCTGTTCCATAAGGAAATATGGGAAATGCTGAGGTACAAGTCCTACATAAGATGGGTGCATGCAGCATAGTTTATGAGGTTTATGGCCTTGTTCAGCATGGCCCAGGGCTGACTCTTCATTGATCATCCACCTTGTGGTGTCTTGGTAAATGCATATCCCCTGGATAGCATTTGAAATCTGTACCCCTGTGCCTGATGGCATAAAACACAGTGGCACAACCCTGGATCAAGCTCCACATAAGGGTGAAGGTCACAGCCAGTGAATTGTAGACTTGTAGAATTACTTGGGTTGCAAGGATCCTTAGAGACTGTCTGGATCCAATCCCCTGCCGTGGGCAGGTCTGCCACCCACTAGATCGGACTGCCCAGGGCCCCAGCCAACCTAGTCTTGAATGGCTCCAGGGTTGGGGCTTCCACTGCTTCTATAGGAATGATTCCAACATTTCACTGCCCTCTGAGTAAATAATTTCCTACTAATATCTAACCTAAATCTCCCCTCTTTTGGTTTAAAACTATTCAGCCTTGTCCTATCACTATTAGATCATGTAAGAAGTCAGTCTCCCTCCTGTTCATAAGCTCTCCCCATGTATTGAAATGCTCTCCCATAGCTTCTCCAAGCTGAGCAAGCCTAGCTCCCTCCGTCTTTCTTCATAAGAGGGGTACTCCAGTCCTTTGATAACATTCATGGCTCTCCTCTGGACCCACTCCAGCAGCTCCACATCTTTCTTGTACCGGGTGCCCCAGGCCTGGACACAGTTCTTCAGAGGGATAGTCCCCTCCTTTGCCCTCTTGGTCACCCTTCTTTTGATGCAGCCCAGAGTATAATTGGCCTTCCAAGCTGCAAGCGCACACTACTGGCTTGTGTCCAGCATTTCATCCATGAGGATGCCCAATTCTTTCTCTGCAGGGCTGCTCTCAATGAGTTCTTCTTCTCATCTTTACACATATCTGGGATTGCGCCAACCCAAGTGCAGCATATTGCACTTGGCCTTGTTGAATCTCATTAGGTTCACATAAGCCCACTTTTCAAGCTTATTGAGGTCCGTTGGGATGGCATCCATTCCTTCTGTTTATTAACTGCACTGCTCAGCTTGGTGTCAACAGCAAACTTGTTGGGGGTGCACTGATTCCACTGTTCAGGAGCAGAGCTTACTTCTGGGATGGGAGCATTCACTTCCTTGGGATGGGCTAAGTGCCTGAAGTTAGCTCTGGGTTGGTCAGTGCTGTCTGTGTGCAGCTGTTTTCATTGTGTGACTCAGGAATTGTGTGATATGGTGAAGGACACTCTGCTGCAAAACCCAGCAATTTGCATGCATGCATTCATGTAATTCTACTTGTATGCCATTAACATATATAGGCATAAATTGAAACATCCGTGCACATGGAGTACAACCCATTAAAAACAAAACCTGTGCATTCACAAAACTGCCAAGAGTATATTCACCAGCACCCTGGTACTAGCTGTGGATAACTGCCAAACAAACACATGCTTGACTATTATGTCAGCGTTAAAATTGCTCTTCTTCAGTTCCTGCAGCAAGATAAAGTCTCCAAAGCCCGTCATGCTGCGGCATCTTTTTCAAGGCTGCAGTATACGGAGTGTGTATAAAATATTGAATCATTTAGAGCTTTTCATCTTTGCTTTATTTATTTATTTTTTTAAAAAAAAGGAAAGAAAAATAGGGTTTACACTTTGTCCACTGACAGAGCAAATGTTTTATGTGCTGGAGCCATGACCGCTGCTCTACAACATTTTATGCATATATTCTTTTACATTTCTTTCTTTTTTACAGTCATGCTACTGAAAAGGGTCAAATCAGCCATTTGGAAGGGTAATTTATTATTCATAGATCAAATTGCACTCTAAGAGTTGCAAGACCAACTTTGGCCCCTTCTCACTAACATTTGTTCTGGAAAGATCCCTCGCTTTCCTTTGGCCCTAGTAGTTTTTGGTGTCTGAAACTATCACTGATGCCAGAGGTGGAGTGGAAAGGAGTATGTTGTTCCGACACATTGAGAAATGGTCTGACACCCACCACACGTTTATTTTGGATAACAAAGACCTTTTAAGTTAGTGAGGCACTCACAGACAAGCTGGGTCTCTAAAGGCTTCTTCACTGGTTCTCAGATTTCCTTCCTTCAGCTTCTTCTTGATGTACCTGTTTTCTGGAGGCTCTGATCATGCTCTGTAGTGAATTGGCTGAACGTATTGCTTCACAGTCTGTGTGTTGTACCAGCCTGTTTTAGTTGGTAGCAACTCTTCATCTTTCATAGTAGCCCTATAGGGAAATTTCGTTTGAAGAACCTGTGGCTTGAACCACACTCTTGTCCTGCACTGTGCCATGGCCAGCATTGCACAGGAACATCACTTTTCCATCATCAGGAGAAGCTAGAAAGGCTAATTTTTTAGTATGATCAAAAATTTTGGGAACAGATAAGTCACTCCAATCCTCTGAGCTGTTTTATTCCTCACCATTTACAAATATCTGGACTGTCTCTTGAAGTCTGAAGAAGAAGCAGGTTGATCTTGTCTGAGTTTTTGTTTTTACCTTTCATTTGAACAGATCAGATAGTTCAGAGTCCTTTCATGGGCACCGAGAACTTTTTTATTGTTTCTGTGGTCAGGAACTCTAGACACAAAGCAACAGCCCAAGGTAATAAGAGAAGAGAAAATTTTAATTAAAAAGAAAGAAGGAAGAGAAAAGAATTCTATTTTATTGCAAAAATGGAAGGGCTGAGGAGGCTGTTGCTGTTTGTCAGTGTAGTTAGGACTGTTATTGCCAGCCTGAGAGAAACCTCAAAAGATTTTGAAGTTCAGATAAGGAACCAAAAGTTCTTAAAATTCTCTGAATCTTACGATGATTCTCTTCAGAGAATCATAAAATAATCCTAAAATCTTTGGCCTGTGCTTCTCATATCACATTCAGAGATGTAGCTTAGACACCTGTACAGTTGCTGTCCCTGAAGCAATTCTCCAGTTCCATCAATGTGTGCAAGTTGGCAGCACTCACATGTAAAGAAATGCGTGTCAAGTTTAGAGGCAGATATGTCAACCTATACTTTGCCTTTGCCGTTAGGATGTGTAGAATAAATCTTTTTTAGGTCGCCTTGCCTGCAGGTTGAGCGGGACTAGGCAGATGGAGTGGAGTTCAAGGAAGCATGAGGAAGTTTATCTAATATGTGAAATTCTGCAGGTACCTTGATAATCTCCTTCTTTCCCTGAAGGAAACAAGGGGAAAATCTTTGGGGACATTCATGTTTCAGCTCTACAGAGAAGTGCCCCTACATCTCCTTGGAAAGCTGGGAAGAAAAAGGAAGGAGTTGGAGAACCAGAGGATTGCAACATAAGTCAAATCAAGATCCAGTTGACCAGTCACCTCCTGCTCGTCTTTTCTGAGTTGTCATTCTTCTAGAAGTGCATCCTCTGAGATGATAAAGAGCACCTGAAGTGCATTAGCAAGATCACATCTCTTGGGCCAGGAGCATTCTGTAATTCCTGAATTGTTTTGATGCAAAATGACAAGGAGATTTGAAAAAAAAAAAATCCCTCTTACTGGCTTATTTTTCTTCTCCCTTTTCTGTCCTTGTTTTTGAAAGATCTAGGATGACTCAGGTGTAAAATAATGTCCAAACGATGAAAAGAACATTCAGAATGAATGTATGTCCAAATGTTCATCCTCTTGCTTTGAGTATTTATTTTCTTGCTTTTCTTGTCACTTCTCTGTGACCTTTAGCAAACTAGGTGTTTTGGCATTAAACACAGAAGTTTGCTGTAAAATGGAGGGGCAGGGAAGCAATTCTTTTATGCTAACCAACATACTCTGGTCTGAAAATGTATTTCAGCAGGTTTTCACGTAGTGTTTGGGCAGGAAAAATTAAGTATTTCTTGTCTTTTGCACAAGTCAAAGATGAAGAAATTTGAACTTTCCTTTTTATTGGGAATTGCTTTACTCGTGCTATCTTGCTTTGTAACAGCTTTGGAGCACATCATATTTTTTCAAGGTACTGGATGGGTGACTCCAGGAACTAATACTAGATTTCAGTTGCAAGAAAGTGGAGAGAGGCAGCTGTGCATTTAATGCAGGAGGCCTGGAGATCTCTGCAGTGCCATGCACTGCTTTTGCGACCTTGGGAAGGTGGCGCACAGCATTTTTGTGACTGGATTCTGCATTTGTGAGCTGCAGAAGGCAAAATTACTATGTTAGTGATATTGTAAGGATGCATGCCGTCCAGTCTGTCAAATGTTCAGTTGAAACAGTCACTGGCACTGTAGGCAGGAATGAGCTGGGCTTCTGAGAAAATGCTGTGGGACAGATTCATTCCTTTCTCCTGCAGGCTCTGCGATCTGTGTTTGCAAGTTTCCATCTTCTGTATAACAAATATCAGAGCCTTGTAGCCCTCAGCTGAGGCAGTGATGTCATTATCTTCATTTCACTCTTGGGAAACTGAGTCATGGAAGAGCTGTGTGCAGTGGCAAGGTCTGAAGAAAGACACCGGGAGAAAAAAAAAAACATGAAATGAATGATTTCTGCCGTGTTTTCAAATAGCTAGAATATGCTGATAATAATTCTTCCTGAACTCATCTCAACTGCGTATCAGGGGATAAGCATGTGTGTAGCAAACCCAGCTGTGCATTGCAGTCATTCCATTCTTGCTAGGGTTTGGAGCGCAAAGTATTCTTCTGCAGTAGATCTGGATAACTGCAGTTTTGGGACAGGGAGCCCTGGTGTGCTGGCCCGCACAAGTTGCTGAGCTTCCCGCTGTGCATTTTTAACTTTGGATCACTGACTGTATCGTTTCCACTAGAGAGGTTTTAAACACTGCTTTTCTTGGGCAATGTCAGACGGTGTTTAATGAAGAATAAAAGAAGCAGGGTGTTTCATATTGCTTTGGGGAAAACAGAAACATCCCTATAGGAGCACTGAGATGCAGCAGCAGAGGTGGGTGCCAAGCTGGCAGTCCCAGTGCTCAGCTTGTGACTGCATGGAATGGAGGAGTGTAAGTAACAACCACTGTGTCTTATTGTGGCAGAGGGAGAAGGGTCACCACTCCCCATCGCTTGGCTGTGATGAGCAGGAGAGGGATGTGGCAAGCAGCCGTGCTGTGAATGCAGCATCAGAAAGTGTTCAGGAACTGTTTCTGTCTGCATTTCTTCCTAAAGTCACAGTACTGTCCCTTCACTGTTCTTCATCTCTCACTTCCCGGCTGAGCAGACACTGGCATACAGCAAGGCAGCTGGCATGTAATGTGCCCTTCTCCCTTCACTCCTGCTCTTGCTGCCAGTTTTGTCTGTGTGCTGCCTTTCTCGCACACTGAGCATGCGTTCTTTGAGGGTCTTTCTTCCGCTGAATGTCTGTCCCCTGTCTGGCACTGGCAGGACCTGCTCTCTCTTCAGAGTTAAGTGGGTAAGGATGGATTCTCCCTCCACCCCCAGTCTGTGAGTTTCAGTGGTGCTGGTGTTTCGTTGGCCGCATTGAGGCACTTGGAGTGTTCACCTGAAGCTGCTGTTGCTGAGTTGTTCGGCCATAGGTTTTGTTTGTTTGTGCCAATAATGGAAATGTCTTAGTACCTACCAATTACTAAAAAAAAAGAGGCAGCGGTAATCTCATTTATCTTTCTCTTTCTGTCTCTCTCTCCATTTTTCTCCCCTCTCCTCTGGGACAGAAGTAAATAAAATGCTTGATAAAATTTAGGCTTTATGTGTGCGAGAGAGATACTTATTGTGGTGAGCTGGGCTGAAGAAATGAGATTTGCATAGATATGGATGGATAAAAAGAATAAGAGATTGGGAAAATAAATGCCTGAATACTGAATAACTGAAAATATATGGATCCAAGTGTATGCTTGGAAAAACGCTATGGACTTCAGCAAAGCTGTACTCTCTTGAACTAGCTCTGTGCTCAGCCCCTAATTTTCCATATTACTACATTACTCTTTTTGGCTGTTTGCTCCTTAAGTGTCTCATTTGTGGATATTCTTTCTCATTAGGATATGAGAGGGGAGAGTCAGTGTTTACTGTCTTGCAGGTGCTTCTCTACCACAGAGATTTAGCTGTGCTTAGTGTGGTTGATGACAGGGTCATACTCCAGTAGAGGCCTTGGACAAAGAAAGTGCCCGTTGCCAATGAGAGTCAGAACTTGATGAAGCCCTGGGACATAGCCATGCATTATAAACAGACAAATGGTACAAAAGGTCAGGAGTCCTCAACTTGTCTATTTGTCAGGACAGAGACATAGGCTTGGATCAAAGATTCAACTAAGCTAGACGATTTCCTCTTCATACCAGTATTGGGATTTTTGAGACATGCCTAGGGCCATTATGGCAGATTTTGCTAGAAGATGTAAAGATCCTGGGAACGGGTTTTCTTCAGGATATTTCACTTCTTTCATGTTGCAGTGGTGACACTTAAGCTAGGGCATCTGAAAATTGAGGTCTGAGTCAGATCTAGATTCAGAAGACCAGCTGTCATGATGGTCAACAGATACATCAGAGAAAAGGAGAAAAGTGGCACATTTGGAGAATCTGATCCTCATGCTAAGTTTCATTTCTAGTCATGAGAATTAGGAGTGTTCAGTTTACTTTCTGAAACTTTAATATGTCTTTAGAAATGTTGCTGTCATTCATTGTCATAATTCTGGATGTTGCGATATGTCTCCGTCCTGCCCCGTCTGCAATACTGTGAGAGTCTTCCTTTCAATTATTTCCTTCAGCTTTGAGTCCCACAGTCTAATAATATAATGTGTGGAAGGGGGGGAAAAAAAGGAAGAAAGGTATTCCAGCACTTTTGAATTCAGCTTTTCATTTCGTTGAATGCCTTCTTAGTCCTTGTTTCCCAAGCTTGGACAAAATCTAAGCTGATGAAGAAAGGTAGCTACTTACTTTTCATGTGCTTAGGTCCTTTGGAGAGTCTATGGAAAGCATATCTGTGATCTCTCCAGGCCAGCCCCAAACCTGAAAATTGAACACATTGGGACCTTTCTTCCACATGGCCATTTTGTGGCTACATTTCTGGTCCCCATACGCGGATAGAAAGCAGGTTTGCTTTGTCGCAATCCATTTCTGGGCAGCCCCGTGTGCAGTCTTTCCACATGATGAACGGGCTAATTAATTTACAGGACAGAGAGAGAAAAGAAAAATAAAGGAGGGTGAGGAGGGGGACTGGATCAATTGACAAATTGAAATGTCATTTCCCAGCCTGCAGCTGGATTCTGCTGTCTTCTCTCCCCCCTTCTTTTTTTTTCTGTTTTAGCCTTTTGTATTTTGATTTGGTTATAAAAGCCAGGACATAATTGAAACTGGCATCAGAATCAAACAGTGTGACCTTGTCGTGTTTCTTGCAGTCCGGCACCGCAGCCCACTGGGAGTGAGGGAAATAAAAGAGGATGAGGAGGGGCAAGGGAGCCCGCCAGCATGGGGACTCCCTTGGCAGTGAGACTGCTCGCCTGCGTGTTTTTGAAGAGCTTCTCTTCTTTGCCTCTCATCCTGCCTCCTATTTATTTAGCTTTTATCCAAAGCAGCTGAAGTGTTTTGGCAGGCAAGGAGAACGTGATGTAGGAGAAGGAGCAGGCCTGGAAGGTGACAGTGGAGCACGATGGCCCCTTTCTCGTAGGAGCTCTCACATAAATTTGCTATGGGAACTACGTGATGTGGCCTAGCAGTTTAGGAAAGTGATGCCAGCCTGAAGGAACTGGGAAAACAAGGGCCTTAATGTCTTCCCCCTCCTTGGCCTGACGAGCTAAAAGGAGCAATTTTATTTCCAGGACACGTGGAAATAAAAGAAGGACACGTGGCTCCAACTGTGCTCCCCACTTCCGTGTTGCAGCAGCACCCCTTCAGGGTGATTCAGCCAAGAAAACTCATCTCTCCTCTGAACTGGGCATTTGCAGGAGTTAGATCTGCTCAGAAGAAAGATTGGTGTAGAAAGACCAGCTGTCTGGGGCTAATCTGCAGAAAAGTAGATCTCGGACCTAGCAGCACCCAGCTCTTGGCTGTACCCTCCGCAAGCTTTTGGGGACAGGGCTGTGGCATAGCTTTCCCTTTGACCCTCTTCTATATCAGGGAGTCTGGCAGGTAGGAGGGCATGGTGTACAATCAGGAGTCTCTGACTGTTGGAGGGGAAGCACCGCAGGATTGCAACTGCATAAACCAGCAAGGAATAAATCTCCACTAAATATCTGTCCCATCTTTGATGCTGTAGTTTTTACAGACCAGAACAGGAATTAAGAATGAAGGAAGTGATGAAAAGAGGAAGTACAAGGAGAAGAGTTGGAGGGGAAGTTGGTGAGAGCAGAGTGGGTTTTCCATGCTGCAGTATTTGTTTTGGAGAGAAGGGCTGTAAATCTGTTACCCTGTCATGAATCCCTAGGCGCTCAGCCCCTAGAAGCTGGCTGGCAATCCTGGCTCATTTACCTGGCCAGCTTTCACAGGCTCAGCAGTTCTTCAGCTGCAACCTGTTCTCTGCCTTCCACTGCTGCAGGACCTGAGGGGAGAAGCCAGCAAGCTTATTTACAGGCTATTAGAAAGCTGGGTTTGAGCAGGAGGTAGTGGGTGCAATTGGTGTGGCCTGTATGTCCCTGTGGCCCTTATCCGCTCTGCTTATATGCTGCACGCTCGTTACTTCACTATAGGTTTACAGAGAAACTGCCACAATAAAAATAAAAATATGTATTTATGTATCAGCCTGCATTTCTTTGTTCTGATATAAATGAAGTATAGAGGAAGTGAGCAAATGGAGCTCCCGAAGGAGAATAGATGAAGAAGCTTGAGTCAGCAGAAGCAGAGCAGGAGGACCGCGATGGTTTATGCAGGCCTTGATGCTGCCTCATGGAAGACAGTGATTTGTGAGGTGGTGGAAATGAATAATACCATTTAATTCAATCGCTTCTTTGCAGACTTAAGCCAAATTCCAATGTGATTTTCGGATACTTTTGGTTACTGATGTGTTTTCTTTTGAGAATAATTCAAAAGATTTTGTTCACTCTCAGCTATAGCAAAACTTGCATGAACTTTTATACAGATCAGAATTGGGCCCTTCAGGGAACAGAAGACATATTTAAACTATTATATATCTTTCAGAGTTTATACTGATTTGTCATGGTTTGGTTTGTTGGTTTTTTGTTTTTTGCTCTTTTTTTTTTTTTTGCAGTTTGCATTGATTCTTCAGTGTACCTGTTGTTAAATTTTTGCTATCAGATCCTCAGGCGCTGGCATCTTTCTGCAGATCTGAGCTGTACACCAAGGACTCTAGTTGGTAAACACTTAACAGCTCTATTTCAAACCACAGAATACTCTCCTTCCACGAATATCAACACAATTAGTGAGATTACAGCCTTTACAAAATGCTACTCGCTTCTCCCCCTGAGTGAAGTGTTTGCTGGTAAATAATACAAACTGTATTTTTATGAATGTTGGATCAAACTTGCCAGTGAATGTGCTGTGGTTTTACTCAGTGCCCTTTCATCCTCTCCCTGCGTTGATTTGAACAATTTTATTTTATTGCAATTAAAAAAAAAAAAGAAAGAAAATGAATTTTGGTATCATGAAAATATTAATTGAAATTGAATGTTAGAAATTCCGCCAAGGATGTTCAAGTTAGGAGGATTTGTGCATTACTCTGGCCCTAGCAGTTGTCAGAGAGAATCAGTCTTGAAGTCCCTTGAGCCTTGATTTGACCTACCAGTGGGCAGCAGCAGATTTTTAGCAAACAGGTAAGGGAACCACCATAGCTGGCAGTTAATATAACATATTTATCAATAATAATGATTAGTTTCGTCCCTAAGCTATGAGGCAATATAGTCTTTCTAATCAGGATTCGTGCTTTGTATTTGGGTAAATTCTTGTAATTCTTTGTTTCATTTTGCTGATCTGTTGGCTTTAATATAATGTGGCAATGAGTTCCCCTGCCTAAGTTCAGTGTTCTGTTAAAACTAAATTTCTCTAGTAAATTTGCAATCACCACCTTTCAGGTTCATTAACTGCTCATTTTTCTTGCATTATAAAAAAAATAAGTAGCTCTTCACCTTCTTTCTTTGTATTACTCAGTATTTTATAGACTGTTATCACAACTTCACTTATTTGTCTTCTTTTTGATATGAACTCCCCCCTCCCCCTTCATTTTTGCTTCATATATGCATTTTTCTGCTCCTGTTCTCATTCTTACCACCTTTCTAAAAAAGAAGCTAAAACAATACATTGTGACTTATCTGGCCACTAGTCAAACCATCTGGAATTTCAGCCTTCACCTTTGAGGGGGAAAAACGGGGGAAAATCCATCAAATAAATTGGAAAAACGAATACATTTATTGAACTCACCATCTGGTAGTACACATTCTACCAGCAGACAAGAAGAACAAAAAACCCAAGCTAAATTCAACAAATCAATTATTCATTGTGAATTATTCACTAGCTTCTATTCCAAACACTGCCAAGATGTGTTTGTTTATTTTTATTTGGAGTTTAAAAAAATCCATGGCAACACTGCTGTTTGTCTTAGCTTTCATGTACAAAGTGCAAACCTGTGCTTCTTTACTGAATGCCTTTATTTAACCAAAGAAAAGCAACAGAGCGCAGAAGAATAAAAGCAAACTTCTCAGAAGAGAAAATACTGTGTATCTAGAAAAGTACCATTTCACTGTGTCTCATAGAATGATAGATATTCCTGGTGACCAGGCCATTCTAGAAATATAAATGCATAAGCCTCTGAAAGTGAAATTTAATCTGTTGTATCAGTTCTATCTGTTGCAATGGTCAGATCACTTTGGGCTTGCCTGTGCTGGTCTCTCTTTAGAGCTGCCAGCTTTATCATGGGACTTCAGCAGGGACCTGGATGTAATCTGAGGCAAGGACAATTTATGATCTGCTGCCTGCTTTGTAAGCTTTCTAAGAGTTCTGCTGCTGGAGGGAGCTGGGGAGGGTGGTTGCATGAGGGAAGTCAGCAGAAGTGGCCGCCGTGTGTTCCACAGTCTACAGCCTGCTCTATAGAAAGGCTCAGTAAAAGAGGTATTCCCTTTTCTTTCCACTTCTGTGTTGTTGGTTTTTGTTGTTGTTTTGTTTTGTTTTGTCCAGACTCAGTTACACATAGCAACTAATTACCTTCTAATTGAATATTGACTGAGGGGCAGTCAGATAAGTTGTTTGTATTAGGAAAGCAAAGGAAATAAAAGTGCACTATGAATTATACTTTATATTGATTGTAGTCTTCTCCGATACAAGGTGCTAAGTGCAGGGCCTTAGAATGAAAACCTTTGGGGAGAGCATTTTTCCTCACGTTTGCACAGTGCCATGCACACAGCCTGGCTCCCTTTTCCACTGCTCTGGTCAGACACCAGCATTAACACTGGTGTTCAAACATCCATGTGCAGGTGCTGATCTTGACAACCAAACACAAGATTCACAGTGCCTCAGATGCTCAGTTCTGACCTTATGGGTGTGTTGCCCCAGAAAGCCCTGATGCCTTTACTTGGGAATGAAATCACATTATTTGCTGATGTACTTCTTCCAGAGAGTAGACACAAGCTCCCACCAGAATGCACAATTTATTCTACAAAATTCTGTTTCTTTTCTTCTTTGTTCAAACACAGCAAAAAAAACAAACAAACAAAAAAAAACCAACAGCAACAAAACAACAACAGTACTCTACTTACTTTTGGATGCAGTTTTTATGCCCCAATCGGTGCCTAACTGGTCATCAATTTAATATTTGCAATTAAATCCAAGTACAAAAAGTTCTGCCAGTAAGCTGTGGACAAAAATGCTGCTGTCCCTGATTGCACCTAGAGAGGAAGTAAGAATTCTTCTTGATAAAGCTATACTCTCCACTACGTGCTTTCTACCTTTTAAAAACTGTGGCCCAGATTCTAGGAGCAAGGGTTAGAATATTCAAAACAGTGGCATTTTCTATCTGCTGATGTCCTCAACTTCCATGTTGCTGTTCTGAGCACTTTACTGTGCTAGAGCTCTCTACTGCTTCTTTTGACACTGATGCAAGGATATATTCAAAAAGAAGGACACTGAGATTGAAAATGAAAACACACAAGATTAAAAGTATAAAAAAAAAACAAAAAAAGCAAAACAAAACAAAAAGCCCAACAAAAGAGAGAAAGATTAGAGACTTTTTTTCCTTAGGAAAAAACTTCATTTTAATCGTTTGATTTTCCTGGCTTCCATTCAAACACCACTTCTGTTCAGCTCTTTCTGTTCTTGCTGCGTTGTTGTTTTTTTTTTTATCCTTTCCCTGATCTGCCCATCCCCATTTCCTTGCCACAGATCTGCCTAAGCAGGGCTGCAAATGGGGACTGTGTAATGTCATGGCTTATGTCATGAGCTGGAGATGTTTGTGCATCTGAAGGAAGGGGAGAAGCTAAGTAGGTTCATCTGCAGCAGGTATATTTGTGTCCTCAACTATGCAGAATCTGAAAGGGCAGAAGCTGAAACAGCAGAGGACGTGGGACTGCTCTGTTGTGGTTTGGGAGTGCCTGTGTTCTCATGTCTGCAGAAGTTAAGAGCTTCCAAGAGTGTGTAGACACTCTAGATCTTTCTGGACTTTATACGGGCCAAAGCTGTATGAATGGAGAGGGCACAGGGAATTTTGGGACTTGATAACAGGAAGTTCATAAGAAGCAGGCTCCCGTTTGTTTGGGATTTCTTTGAGGAGGCTTAAAATTAATGCAAACAGTGCATAAGGCTGCCAGTATTTTTCAGCAACATTTTTCTTTAAGGTACAGGGGAGTTTTGTTGGCATTTACAAGTGATTTATTCTGACAGTTATTGTATGTTCAACAATAAATTAAGTGAAAATAAGCTAATAACACATATTCACTGATGCCTTAGCAGCTCAGAAATGGATTGGAATTTCCTCTCTGACCTCACTCTCCTTCTCAAGTAAACAGACAATCATGTGTAAGCCAGACAAAGGCAGGATTCTCAAACAGAAAGGATAGGTAGGTTGGGAGCGCAGAGGACTGAAGCAAATGCCTCTCTAATTACTGATGTGTGGTGACAGAGGACTGAGGAGATCATTGGAGGCTGCAGTATTAGTGACAGTGCGGTTTTCTCCCAGCTAATAACATGTACTATGAGAAATCACTCTTTCCAGGCTTTGAATCTTTCTGGAAGTTTGAAATCTGTGGCAGTTGAATGTTTCCCAAAAGTCCTTGCAGCATCTTGCACATCTCAAGGATCTCACAACACGTCAAAGACCCCTCTTCCTTGCCAAGCTGCTGTGCCACCCAAAATACAAATGCTCTGTCTGAGAGCAGTGCTCCTTGAACTCTGGCAGACCGTGCCCATTGCCTTGTAAAACAGACCCTGTTTTCTGCCTTTTTTTCTTTCTTTTTTTTTTTGTCTGATGTTTTAGAGCTTGCAGGCCTGCTTATGGATATGTTAGGACCAAATGAAGGAAAAGACTGAAATTCTGGAGGGATGCGTGCAAGGTAACAGCGCTTTGGAGAGGATACTGAATGGTGTGTATATAGGCCAAGGATTGAGAAATCCTGTGGAAGAGCAGGCTGTGTATTGTGAGCACAGGAAGTTTTTGATCAGCTGATAATTCCTGTCCTTTCCATTTCCTATTTCTCCTCCCTTCCAGTAGCCAGGGCATTTGGTAAAACCTCGTGGCTGATCTCCCATGCATTGAGAGTCTGTGCTATTGCAAGAAAATAACTGTCACAGATAGGTGATGGGAGGTTACAGAAGGTGGTCCATGGTGATTCAAGGGTGAAACCCAGACTCCAGGTCTTCCCCTTGTTCTCTGCCCAGTGCCTAGATATGTGGTCGTTTGGCACTCAGTTTTCTGTCAGCTCAGCCCAAACCATACAGAGGCTGGAGACCTGATGCCAGTAGCACGCCTGTAGTAGTGGGGAAAGAGTGAGCTGAACAGGTGGAAGAATCAGGCAGAAGACAGCGTATCAAACCAACATGCTATAAAAACGCTCCGCTGAAGCATGGTGACACTGCAGGGGCTGCTTTTCCATCAGAAATGGACTGGAGCATCCCCAGTGCAGTGGTTGATGTACTCACCTGTCCAATTCCTGCTGAGGCAGTGCAGATGGGAGCGTAATTCTCAATGTTTGTGGGGCTGGAAGCAATCTGTCTGTCACCACCTCTTTTCCTCCCCTCTTCAGCTACTTTCACTCTCCCACTTGCCATGTCCTGTTTTCTTGTAAACAAAGTGGTGGCTGATTTTTTGGACCTAGAATGATAACAGGTCACTCTCTCTCTCTGTAGTTCTTCACCATCTATTGCAGCTGCCTGGAGCTGGAGCGTTGAGGGCATTTGCCTTGACTTTACTCAATAAGTGATTGTTTGCTTACTTATAAAGCTCTTTTCTATTTGCCCTTCCCTTCCCTTTATTTGTAAAGTTATTTTCTATTTGTCCTCCCCTCCCCTCCCCTCTCTTTTTCCAGTCAGCAGCAAGGATGAGAGGTTTGCTATTGGATCTGCTTTAACTCTGCTAGATCCCATGCATGTTTTCCCAGTTGCTGAGGCTATCTCTTGTAGACAAAGGGAGTAATGAAGAAACTAATGGCCCTCACTCCCCCTGAAAGAGGAATCAGTTTATGAAAAGAGAATAGAGAAGAACTAGACCACTTGCAACATGTTCAAAACCTCTTTTTCCCCCAGGCTTGTCCTGAGGCCTCCCTGCTGGGAAATTCAGGCAGCTGTTCAGCTTGCTGACTGGGTGGGAGTTTAAAGGCAATCTTTGTGTGCACAATTGCATAAAGTAATTGTGTGTGCATTAACATTTTACCTGGATTTAGGCATGTGCAAATGACTTGCTGAATTACTTTGGAGCTGGAGTTGCAGTAAGAGATGTGGGGAAACTCCTCCTCTTTGCTGTGACAAGCAGCATCTGGTCCAATGTGAAGTACAACTTTCAGTGCAAATATGTAGATGTGTTTGAGCTTATTCTTTGTTCTCTGCCATTACCAGGACGTGGGTTGGCAAGCTAAAAATGGCTTTCAGCCAACATTTAATGGGAGCATCTCCCAACTGTGAATGTGTGTGCAGAAAGTAAATGCAAAAGAGAGAGGGTTGTGGTGGTCAGGGCAACCACTATTTAACTGGGGAAAATTCTTGTGTAATATGGATTCTGTAACTTTCCCAACTCTGGTTATGATACATTTTAAAATCCATACTGCTGTGAAGGAGAAATTATAGCCAATTAAACAAGAGTACCAAACAGAGTCTGTCCCCAAATTTTCCCTTTTTTGTATTTGTTGAACTGCACAATTATTTTAAATTGAGTGTTGCATATTCATAAACTGCATTTCCAACCACCCAGTCTTCTGTTTTATGGATCTAGTTGGAATATTAGCATATATTTCAGTAGCTCATTTCATTTCATTGATCCCAAAGTTCTTTACAGAAGACATGTACGGTGCTCATACTGACAGCAAAGAGCAGCCACCTCTGCGATGGAATATAACAGGTGTTTAACAGAGCTCAGATTCCTCCCACTGCATCAGCTAAACCAACGTACAGCTTCTGCTTTTTCCAACAGGAATGTCTAGAGGGATTGCTGTACAAACAGAACACAGCAGAAGGACTATAGCACAACCACAAAGCTAGCAAATTTCTTTGCTTAGATAGGTATTAAGACCTGTCTTTGAGAATGACCTTAGACCCCAAGGGTTATTCTAGGTGGACTGATTGTGCAGGTGTGACCTGAGGTGTGGATTTCAGCTGCAGTTGCAGCGGAGAATTGGGTTCACACACATACTCTTACGAAAGCTACTTCAGGTGTTCAAGTGAATGAGGCCATTTTTGAGTGAGGGTGTATTATGCAAGGGAGTTAATGGGTGCAGCTATGTTTCTGTAAAATCACACCGTACCGGCGAATGGTGTAACTTTCCTGTGCAGGCAGAATCAAAGACCCACTCAGTGAAATGAATGTTATCAAATGCCTGCTGCTTTTTCAAATACAGAATAGGGGTTGGTTGCTCAGGGGAAATTTTAGGACAGCACCCAGCACATCCCTCTCTGAAATGCCTGCTTGGACTTTGTGGTGGCACCAGTGCATTTCTGAGTCACTAGCAGCATTGTTTGCAATTTCAGGGATCTCCCATCCAAATAGTGACAGTTCGTTTCTCAGCTCTGCTTAGCTTGTCAGATCTGTGGCAGGGTGTCATGGTTGTTCAGTCAGTTACTGAATGGAGGGAAAGAGAGACATCTTTAATTTCTATAGCCTTTCATTCTGATGACATTTATCAAATTTCCTCTGTCTGACAAGTTCAACCTAGATGTGCTCCTCTGCCTTCCTGCAAGTGCCCTGGTGATGGGAAGGGAAGATGGAAAGAAGGGAAGATGGGAAGGAACCAGTGGACAGCAGTTACTTGTAAGAGGGTTGGATAAAGGAAGAGAAGGTGAGATGTACTAAAAGTAAAGAAGCTCGAAAGCAGGTGACTACAGAAGGACAAAAAGAATAGACAAAAGGAGAGGCAGAAAAAGTAACTAGTTGAGTTTGTATGAAAGGCTTTTTAAGCCCCCACACTGCCGTCTACCCTCTTTAAACTACTTGAAAAACCAAATGATACTTTTACTGTGCATCTGCAAATGTCCTCATCACATAGTTAATTCTGTACTGCCCAGTTCCTAGCCTTCTCCTGCATTTCCCCTATATCTTTTTTTCTTTTTTTCTTTTTTCTTTTTGGCTTCAATTAATGTCTTTCTTATATTCCTTCAGAAGGTTTTTTAATCCCTTATTTCTCCAGGTCTGGATCTAGAAGTGTCACAAGAGGTTTCTTTCATTTCTAGACAGAGGGACAACCTTAGTAGGTCATGCCCACCTACCCTCTTTCCGGGGCTAGACCAGAGGATGTTCCAGGAGGAGAAAGGCAATGAGGGATCTATACTGAATTTGGAGATCCTTCTGCATCTTTTCCCCCATCTTACGCTTATTGATCTTGGTGCTAGCAGGACTGAGAGCAGTCACTGCCTCCTGTAGCCACCTTGATTAACCAACTGTCCTAAATGGGTCATTTAGAGGAGGCCACTGGGCCCATCACTAGCACTCAGCTCTGCCATTGGCACTGGGCTCACAAGCTTGTCACATGCTTCTTGGTGCATCAGAAGGTAGACTTCATGGGGATACTGCATGCTAGACTGGTAGCATCTTCTCAAAAGGATGTGTTAGGAAGTCTTGATGATGTGCAGACATAGGTCTGGTCTCTTTGTGGCTGAAGGATGTCATGGTGGGGACAGCTGCCCTTCGAGCTCAGAGTGTGCTTGTAGCACTGCCAAGTATCAGGGAGTTGTCAGCATTTATCAGGACATCTCATGAGTCTTTTTAGCATTTATTACCAATCATGGAGAGGAAAGGTTGTGCAGTGGGATGGCTGAAACAGAAAGCAAACTGGGTAATGCAGCTCAGGTATCCATGTCTTGTTGGGTATGACAAGTGGAAAAAAGCCAAAGATATAGTCATTCGTTGATTCCCTGTACTTGCAGATATCTGCCTGAACGTGCAACATTTCCACACTGATACCATTTCTGTTGCATGTTACTGTCCATCTGTGAAGAGATTACACATTTAGCATCTGTCTACCCATCCATCAGCGTTAGGTTTCTTTAGGCACCCTTTAATGTGGGTTTTCAGAGCCTGCCTTGCTTGCCACCTCCTCTCTGCGTTCTTCATCCTGCATCTAGTGTGGATGTTTGCTACTTCATGTCTCGGTTCAGCAGAGACTTACTGGCTCTCTTTCATGGAACTGTGTTTTCTTCTTGTATTTTCTTCCTTTGCTCTGTAGATTTTCTTGAACATAAAATAGAAGTCAGGTAGGTTCAAACATTTGGCCTTACTGCTGGAAGACACAAGCATGACCTGCTGTGCATCAGTTACTGATGGTGTAGGACACCATTATATTAGCTCCTTTTTGAAAATACGCAGTATGTTGGATTCCTGACTTGCTAAGCTGATTTTCTACTTGTGATTACAAAACACATTGCGCTTTTATTCATATGTATGAAAAGAGCCATCTTGGTATAGGCAAAAGTGGCTGACTTAGACATCAGAGCACATGCACAGGTGAACGTCTTGAACTTTTAACAGCTAAGCTATTAGCCATGCAGTCACGTAAAGACCTCCACTGCTGAATCTGCCAGAACTGGTTATCTGCAGAGACTAAATAGTTCTGTGTGGGGTTGATGTATCCTGGAGGCTCGAGGCAATTAGCTGTGGATGATGAACACGGAGTGTAATGATAAGTCCTCAGGGCAGAAGTGCTCAGCTGCTCTGCTCCTGCAGATCTTGGGCACTCTGCAGGACCCAACCTTCATCTTGAGGTTCACCCCTGGCATGCAGATAAACAGAAGGCTGGACTAACTGGGGAAAAAACTGTAGTAAACACTGTGCAGGGAGTTTCAGAGCTCTGCAGATGAAGGTTGTGGGTTACAGAAACTGCATAAGTCAAATAATTTTAGCTCTTTCTTCTTCTTCTCCTTGAAAAGAAGGAAAGTAGAAGCTAAATGCAGTCTGTCCCCTGTCCCTAGTTGAATCACTAACTTACTCTGTCTTGTAATAGCACTTAGAAACCCTGGTGTCATTATTAGCATTGTACAAAAATATATCAAAGAACCAGTCTCTTCCTCAGACAGCTTGCGATCTGAAGCCCACATCCTGCAAAGCCTTACGAATATGTTTAACAATATGTTGCAATTATTACTGATCATAATTACTATTATGGAACATGCAGTTCCCAAATATAAATCAGGATCCCAGGCTACTGGGCCCTCTAATGATACACAATAAAGGCAGTTCCAGAACCGACAAGTTTACAGTGAAAATGTTGAGCATTGACCCTCTGTGGGATTTCTTGCAGTGCATACAAATTCAGTGCCTGCATAAGGCCTGGCAGACACTGTGCATAAAATAAAGGAAAAGATAAGAAATAGATACAACAAAGATATAGGTGGAAGCATAAGGTAACAATGTAATGTAATATTAAGAATATAAATCTAAGATAGAATTGAGAATATTCCAAGAGCTTGGTTTTTTTCTGCACCATTAACTTGATCTCATTGCGCACCAGAATATATATGGATTCTCTGTTCTTACCTTACCTGAGAAATGTACAATTTCATATATAATGCGTGATAAATAGGATGTACGATGGGGTAGAATCAATGATGCAGGAGAAACTTTAACATATGGAAAGGCTCGGCTTCTGAGCACTTGATTTCTCAGTCTTAATGTTTTATCAGTGCTGAATTTTTTGTACTGGAGATATATCTGAATGTGTGTAGCCATCTGAATAATCAGGTGAAACCAGAGC